TCTCTCTCTCTCTCTCTCTCTCTCTCTCTCTCTCTCTCTCTCTCTCCTTTCTCTCTCTCCACAGCCTCCCCCCCACCCCTTCCCGGCCCAAACCACCCACCCCCCAAAAGGAAAAAAAAAAAAAAAGAAAGAAACCCACAACTTTAGGGCGGGACTTCAGCATGGCATTCTCAAACTTCGGCCTGCATAAAAACTGAGCTGCTTGTTAAAAATGTAAAATTCATGACGGAACAATTTTGTATCTTGATAGTGGTGGCAGATACACAAATTGACCAATGTGATAACACCACACACACACACACACACACACACGTAAAACTGTTGAAATCTGAATAATTTTATCTGATTCCTTCTCAAGACAGCTTAACAGCTTCTGGGGTCTGGGTCCTGGGGGACCACAAAAGGGCCCTTGAAAGAGGCAGGAATATTGCAAAGGGGCGAAGAAGCCAAATTTCACCAATTTCACCATTTTGCCCAATTTCCAGACCTTGATTGCAAAATATGTGCTCTTTCCCAGAGACTGGAGGCACTTATAAGGCTACTTGTGTGATGCTCAATACGTAACCCAATTAAGATTACAGAGTAGCACCAAACCAGATGGCAAGGTGTCCCCAGGAAGAACGACTCTGAAACCATCTTCAACAATGACAGCCCTGGCTTACTCATGCCCATTTTATTTACAGCCTGTGAAATTAAAGGCCTGTGGCAGGCCAGTAAAGGCGAGAAGAAAACAGACTGGCCCGTCCCGACGCCGACGTCGCATGACCACCCTCACCTGGATGTAGCGTCCCGATTTAATGCCGGCTTCCAACACTTCCAGGGGAAGATGTTCTGCGTACTCCTTCCCGTGGCTCTCCTGACTCTCATTCTCTCTTTCCCGTCGAGACTGAAGGATGGAGTCACAAAGCTCGCGGGCGGCCTTTAAATCAGGCCAGAAATTGTCCAGGTAATTCTGCGTTCAATAAAGGCAAAAGAGAAACGTGGTCAGAAGGTAATGGTTCTCCCTTCCAGTAGTATTACAAGCAGTACCGGGCGGGAACCGCTGGCGTGTGGTTTTGAAGTGGTGAATGAACATTACCTTCCCAAGCCTCACGTTACGGGCTAGTTTTCTACCATCTCACTAATCCGTGAAGCCTCGCCAAACGAACCCTAGGGAGGCCCTTCCTACCATGGAATGCTTGCTTTGCACTTTCGAATCTCCTCCTCTCTCTGTGCGCGTGTACACACACACACACACACACACACACACACACACGCAAACACACGCAAACACACACACACACGCGTGGCCTTCTGCCTATCTTTACGTGTATCTCATTGCCACAGACAATGGCCTGCAGTAAATACAGAGAAAAAACTCTCATGTGTGCATTCTTGTCTTCTTTTTTCTTTTTCCCATTCTGAAACATTTGAAACTTATAAGAAACTTAAACAAGCAGGTAAAAATGGCAAGGCGTAAAGCGCATACGGAAATGTCCCCTTTTCCCCCAACCCACTGGCTACACCAAGTGAGCAGAGGGGGCAAAGCCGAGACGTTTCTATTCTTCTGGGGCTTCCCCGTCATGAGCTCCCAGACGATGGAGTCTTCCTTGGTGACCATCCAGAGATGTTGTAACGCTTCACAGAGACGTTGCTATTAGTGTGATGACTCAGTACGAGACTTCACTTTGACACAAGTGGTCAGGGTCCCTCCCCCCCACGTAGACTGAGTGTTACTGCACCTCTTGGTGTAAGTCTATCAGAGAGGACACCACCCGCAAGAGGACGGTGTGTTGATGCTGGCTGTGCTACGTCGAAAGCACACTCCCTTGAATGGTTGGCTCTCACTAAATAAAACCAAATTTACATGTTTTTAACTCAACTTTAAGTCTAAGGTAGAGTCTAGCACATTCGCTTTTCTCACATAAAAAAGAAAATGCAGGGGCGCCTGGGTGGCTCAATCGGGTGAGTGTCTGACTTTGCCTCAGGTCATACCTCATGGTTCGTGAGTTCAAGCCCCGCACTGGGCTCTGTGCTGACGGCTCGGAGCCTGGAGCCTGCTTCAGAGTCTGTCTGTCTCCCTCTCTCTCTTTCTCTCTCTCTGCCCCTCCCCCACTCGTGCTCTGTCTCTGTCTCTCTCAAAAATAAACATTTAAAAATCAAAAAAAAAAAAAAGAAAATACATTATATTTATTGTCAAGGCTAATATTTCTCCCATGGACCTCAGGGTCCTGTTTGAATCACCTCCTTTCCTTCCCCAGTCCTTCGAGAAGTTCTGTCTGTGCTAACGTCAGTACCCCAATTCTATGGTCACTTGGTCACTTACAGCTTCTCACCACCCAGTTCCTGCCACTATGAACCGCCTCTTCATGAGGATTTACTGTCTTCGCTTTTCCCAGCTAACTTCATGTCCCCACAGAAACTTCTGGCCTTCTCGTCTGAACTCCACAGTATCTCTTTTTTTTTCCTGCTATCTATCATTCGCCTCTATGAAGCCCTCGGTCACACAGTTTGCTTAGGAGACACTATACACAATAAACGGTACCACAGTACCGGACTGTGAAGAAAAGTAATTTGAACAAAAAGTAGAAAAATGTAATTTTAGGCAACTGTCCTCTGCGAGAACAAGACATGATGTATTGCAACAGAAAAAACAAGTGACACCGCCATTAATATCCAGCGCCCCCGGAACTCTCTGGCACGCCGGCACACTTTTTTATAGCAGGGCCAAGAAAATTCTATTGGCAAATCTTTAGCAATACGTGCACCTGGGAACTCTTATAGAATCTACAATTCAAAATCCAACTTGACTTTCCGTAAACTGACAGGGGCAACGGAGGACCTCATTTGAGGTTCTGAATCAAAACCCGATATTAACCACTGGCACTTGATTGGCCAGCTGGGCAGACAGAAGAGCCCAGTAATCTGTTGAGAGATCAACAGCCATCCCACTTTCCCCAAGGGGTACCCCAGAAATAGGAGAACTGGGTTGCCAACACAGCCCCCCAAAACGGCCACCAATAACACTGCTCCCACCTGTGATCTGTACACTCAGCCGATGGGACAGCCTTCACATAAATGATAGCGCAGCTCGCCCCTTCCTGTATCCCTGCTAACCCCCATGTGTATTCACAAGTGGGGAAGAGTCAGGAACAGTGCCAAAACAAGAATGGCCCTTAAAACTGCGCGGTGTGCGTAGGGGGCGCCTGGGTGGCTCAGTCGGTTAAGTGTCTGACTCTCGGTTTTGGCTCAGGTCACGATCTCGCGGTTCGTGGGTTTGAGCCCTGTAACGGGCTCTGTGCTGACAGCATGGAGCCTGCTCGGGATTCTCTCTTGCTGTCTCTCTCTGGCCCTCCCCGACATGTACTCTCTCTCTCAAAATAAATAAGTAAACTTAAAAACCAAAAAAGATTAAAACTGTGTCGTGTGTGCATGCAGAAAAACAATGTGGGGGGCAGCCGAGCACGGTGGTTAAGAGCTTTGGAGTCAGAGTGCCGGGGGTTCCTCCACTTTCTACCTGTGTGACCTTGGGTGAGTTACTTAGTCTTTCTGGGCTTTAGTTTCCTCACCTGCAAAACATGAACAATGGCACCTACCTCATGGGGGTAAGAATTCAATGAAACAATCCACTTAGAATACTGCCTGACATAGATAAATGTTGGCTATTACTATTAGGTGGGACCATATAAAACTGCCATTTTGGAGGTCAAAAATAATAGTATTGGCAATTTTATGACATCCAACCTATTCTTGCCATCATCATCACCACTATTGTTATTGCTGTAACTGTACAACAGGTTTACTGTCAACAGGGGCCTCCTGGGCTGAACTCTCAGATGCTACGGGTCTTGCAGTCACAGGGGGGTTGCCCAAATTTGCCAAAGCCAAGATTCCATGGCTGGGGAGAGACAGAGACATGGAACTCGTTGGCTGGAGTCTTCCTTCACTCTTTGTTTTCCCTCTTCTGCCTCGCCACATGGATTGAGAGCATGTGGGCACCACTGAAGAAATGAACACACACAGACACACTTACGGACACACCAGATGCAGGTACCTTGAAAGAAATCACAAACACTCCTTCGGTTTCGCTTCCATACTGTTGAATAGCCTCTTCGTCTTCTGTCACCATAACGATTGGCATCCTATCCTGGCAGTGGTGATAATACCAAACGGCTGCATTGTATATGCTCCTAGAAAAGCAAGGGCACATGAGCCCTCCCAAGGCAGACAAACACAAGCTACAGTCCAAAGCGTCACACCGGCCTTTTGATCTGCTATCCTTCGGTTTATGAGGACGACCACCCATTCATTCAACAAGTTATTTCCCGAACACTGGTCATAAATATGCCCTGGGTTGGGCAGTCTGGGGGATAAAACACGAATCAGAGAGCACCCGACAAGCCTCTTCTTCCCTAAGACCTCCAACCACCACGGCAACCTCTTTCATTTCTTGATATGGCCTAGAAACCACAAGGCTCTGCCGTCTTTTAATACCTTTTGGCTGGAAAGCCATTACCATAGCACCACACGGATGACAAGCGAGGCTACGTGAGGTTTCAAAGCTGGAGAGACAAGTCTGGCTAAGAGAAAAACCAGGCTGCGTCCAGCTCAAGGTCACAATCCAATAAGGTCTGCGATGGAGTCAACACAAAATGTCTGGAAATCTTCCTGAAACGAACCGGAATTGGAAAACACAGCCTGGGGCTGGAGACGTGTGTTCAAGGCTGGACTGTGTTTCCAATGAAGTGTGTAAACTTGGGACAGTTGGTTTCGTAGGCATCTGTTTCCCTTTCTGGAAATCACAACGCTACCTAAGGTTCCTTTAGTTTTAGATTAAAAAAAAAAAAAAATTCAGCGGACATATACTGAGTCTCTCCTATGTGCAAGCCTGTGTGGTTAGTAAGTAAGATCCTTCTAACTGCTCACATGTGACCTGGTCTAGAGAAAGATTGGCTTTCCTTTCTGGTACTGGGCCCTGTGGGAACTTAGGACTATAATTAAGGACTCAGTATGTATCAGTGTTTATTTTACTTTAGAGAATTTAAATATTTAGTGGCTACACAGACAAAGAATTACAAGGAAAAAGACGAATGAAATGTTTTGTATGGATAAGACAAACAAGGTCCTCGGCCCTCTGCAGAAGAGCAGAGCAGGGGCTGTGGGTGCCCAGCGCCTGTGCAAAAGGCCCACCGCTGACCAGCTGCAGGTGGGTGGCAGTTCCGCACCCCCCCCAGGCCCACTGGGTGGAGTTAACACCCCTGCAGAATGACCCTCGGCTAAAGGCGGAAGTCTCCTTTATATGACACCCTGGCCTCCGCTCTTCCAGATAACTTCTGAGGCAAATACTACATGGCTTCTCAGAGGCTCCCAGTAGGACTGAGCCTCAGTTTCCCACAGCAGTAACGCATCCTTACCTGCTCTCCCTCCTTCCCTTCTGTCTCACTCCCTGCACTTCCTCACTGCTGTTTCAGGGAACTGCCTCCCGCATCAACCACCCACACCCAACCCCTTGCTTCAGGCTCTGCTTTTTAGGTGGATCTAAACGGCTACAACAGCCTGACCAGAGTTAACCTACCAGTTCCAGTTTAATAAGACCGGTTGGAATAGGAGAGCAACTTCTACCAGGAAAATTGGATAATCTTAGCTTAAAAGTAGATCCCTCCCCCTCCCACACCCCCACATTCAAGTTATGACTTCTGGATCCCTGGAAGGTTCCTACCAGCTGCTGAGATCTGGGGCAAACACACTCTGAGTATCTACAGCTCCCTAATGACAATTTCTAAAATATGTATGTATTCGAACGACATATCTACAACAGTGGCACGTTAAGCATTTCAGTATTAATCACAGTTCCAGAATAACTACTGGTTTATTCTAGCACGCTATTTAGGTCAACTCCCAGATAAAGAAATTAAAGACAGTCCTGACCATTCACAGCCATTGGGGGGGGGGTGCCATACCTGGTCTGCCACTTTTCCATGGATTCTCCTCTCTCCCGAGGGAGGTAGCAGAACTGTTGGAATTCGTTAGCAAAGAGAATGCAATCATGCCGGGCATCCCTCAGGAGGTTTCGCAATTTGTTATACTGTCTGGGACACAGAAGAGAAAGAGAAATCTGACACAGCAGGTACTCATCGACTGCCAGCTCTTGCTAAGGATCAAAGAAGATGAGGCATTTCAGGACAAAAGATTGATTATTTCGAACCCAAGAGACATTTATTTCTATTGGCCTCGGCGTGGGTAGTACTATGGGGCTGTTGTTTCTCAATTTTGCCTGCCGGAATGTGTTCAATCACATTAATTAGCCTGTGGATCAATCACTCTGCCCTTTCCCCTTCTAGACGTGTGGCCATTTATTCAATGATTACATGACCCTGCCCCGCACGGCCCCCTCTTCAGAGGCTCGCGGAGGATAGCAGGCAAAGCAGAGTTTGGCACTTTACTCTTGTACCTCGCTTTGTTCTAGAAACGGCAGTAGGCACTGGTACATTTTACTTTGTGCTGGCAGCCCCAGAAAAGTTCAGGTGACGGAAAGAAGTCTGGGGATTTATCTGTGAATTTTATTTACGCAGCCACCTCATTTACATGAATGACGGCTAGCTGCCATCTGTCAGACAACTAACAAAGTTTTCAGGTTTCTTCCAAACGGAGATCCTTCCGATAGTGCTAGCCAAAGTCTCTCATCAAATCTGCACCTCATACGGGTCAGGATCTAAGATGGTGTTTTTCTCTTTTCTTTTTCAGAAGGTGCTTTTCAATAGTCGAGGTGATATGAAATACAGAAAATGTTCACAGTTATCTTAAAGGAAGCCAATTGTTTACTTAAAAATGGATTGATATTAAACTAGATGTTAAATTAACATATAAATCACCCAAGGGAGATGACTGGCATTTAACATGTGTTCTTTGTTAAGTGTTTATTTTCGGGAGGGACAGAGTGCAAGTGGGGGAGGTGCAGAGAGAGAGGGAGACACAGAATCCATAGCAGGCTCCAGGTTCTGAGCTGTCAGCATGGGACCCAACATGGGGCTCATATTCACGAGGTATGAGATCATAACCTGAAGACGAAGTCGGACGCTTAACCGACTGAGCCACCCAGGCGCCACAAGATGTGTTTTAACATAATAAAATTTATGCTTTCCCATTCCTACCCGCAGCCCGCTGCCATGTTTTTAAAAAAAAAATGAGTCTTTGGGCGCCTGGGTGGCTCAGTCGGTTAAGCATCCAACTTCGGCTCAGTCGGTTAAGCACCCAACCCATTCGTGGTTCGTGGGTTCGAGCCCCATGTCAGGCTCTGTGCTGACAGCTCAGAGCCTGGAGCCTGCTTCGGATTCTGTGTCTCCCTCTCTCTCTGCCTCTCCCCCCCACTCACACTCTGTCTCTCTCCCTCTCTCAAAAATAAATAATACACATTAAATTTTTTTTAAATGAGTCTTTATATTTAAGCAAAAGAACTCTCCAACTTCTCTTCTTTAAGTAAATGCTAATCACCAATATCTGTATCGTCTTAACACTTAATTAGAAAACAAGACACAGTGATTTTATTTTCTTAGTAATTCTAATTTTGAGCTATTTTAAAAAGAATCATCAAGTAATAGCACTTACACAATTTCATAATCAACAAAAGGATTCGGTGTCATTGCTGTGAATGGCAGCTGTCCTTGACAGGATCCCACTTGTGCAAAGAAAAGCTGCCCCCCGCCCCATCTCAGAAATGCCTGGAACGTAACTAACTGGTAGTCTTCCCACCTTCACAAAGATATATTTGAAGTCACTTTTAAAACCTCTTAGGATATGCACAGAGGAGTCTACACCACCCTGTTCCCAGTGCCCGTCCCTGCACAGTAGTAAGGTGAAAACTTTTACCTTCTGCTGGACCCATTTCTGTAATGCACGAATTCTTCTAAAGGAGCGCTTACTTCTTACGCAATTAAGGATTGTAGAGGAGACTTCACAAACAACTGTAATTTATTATTTCAGAGACGACACTGAAAAAATATCGCCTATTTTTCCTGATCTTATCGTCCACAGTATTGGCGCCCTTTATCTACCCCTAATAAAGCACCTGGACTTTAGTGCGCTTTTTTGTTTACCAATTACCTTCTATATTGAAGGTCCTTCATTTAGCAAATATTGGCTGCATTCCTTCCCTTTTGCTCCACTGAGCGCCCTCAGGGGACACCATCTAAGCATCTCCTTTCTGTCCTTTGCTTGCGGTGGCCACGGGGGCTTGCGGTGGCCATGGCAAAATTACCGTTCCTCAAGAAAATTAAACCAAGAACTACCCTATGACCCAGCAACTGCACTCCTGGGTGTATGCCCCAAAGGACTGAAGACAGGGTGTCAAGGACACATTCCTGTATCAATGTTCATGGCTGTATCATTCACGATAGCCAAAAGGAACCAAGGAAGCAACCCAAGTGTCCAACGACAGACGGATGCATAAACAAAATGCGGCAGGTACACGCACGGGAATATTTTCCAGTCTTAAGAAAGGAAGTTCTGACGCAGGCTACAACATGGATGAACCGTGAAGACGTGATGCTAACTAAGCGAAATAAGCCGGTCGCAAAAGGACGGACACTGTGTAAGATTCCACTCATATGAGGTAAGGTACTTAGTCTCGTTTATAGATGCAGGACGTACAATGGTTGTTGCCAGGGGGCTAGGGGGAGAGGGAGGTAGGGAGTTAGTATTTAATGGGTGTAGAGTTTCAGTTTAGGGAGATGGAAAAAAGTTCTGGAGAGGACGGTGGTGATGGCTGCACGAAATGTGAATGGATTCAAGGCCACTGACCTATACACTGAAAAGCGGTGGGCGACTGGATGGCTCAGTTGGCTAAGCATCTGACTCTTTACTGTGGCTCAGGTCATGATCTCAAAGTTTGTGGGTCCAAGTCCCACATTGGGCTTCACGCTGACAATGCAGAGATGCTTGGAATTTTCTCTCTCTCAAAATAAATAAACTTTAAAAAAGTGTTTAAATTGGTAAATCTTATGTCAAATACATCTACCACAATTTTAAAAAAACCAGCTAGGCTAACTGGCAAAACAAAATAAAAACAAAAATCAGAACCACCCATTTCAGTGGCAGAAGTGCCATGACAGGGAGAGGTGCAGAGTGTGACAAGAACATGGGAGGGACGGGGGAGATGACATCTGAGATGAGAAAGGTGAGTGAGAGTTAGCCAGACAAAGGGCCAAGGGAGGAGAGAGGAGACAGAAAGTTCAGGATAGCAGACAGTGGTTCACATGCCCAAAAAATGTTTTCCAAATGCATAAATGAACTCTCATCTCTTTGTGACAACAGTGGTCCAAATACAAGACAACAGTGTGTCAGAACAAACCCTGACATTTTCAGAACTCAGTTACAGTTTTGCTAGGCTCTGCACACATCCCCTGATTTGCTATCACACTTTATACATATATATATATATATTTTTTAAATGTTTATTTATTTTGAGAAAGAGAGTACGTGTGCAGGGGAGGGGCAGGGAGAGGGAGAGAAGGAGAGAGGGAGAGGGAAAGGGGGGGGAGAGAGAGAGAGAGAGAGAGGGAGAGAGAGAGAGAGAGAGAGAGAGAATCCCAAGCAGACTCTGTGCTGACAGCACCCCCGACATGGGTCTTGGGTCTTGAACTCACGAACCGTGAGATCGTGACCCGGGCGGAGATCAAGAGTTGGACGCTTAACTGACTGAGCCACCCAGGCGCCCCTGACACGTGCACTTAGGCCCGGGGATTCTCCAACACCAAAAACTGGTGTTCCATAAGCCAGACCCAGGTCGTTTACCAACAAATTAGAGGAATGACAATCCTTCCCCATGTTTAGCAAAATATGTAACTTCACAAAAAAGAATTTTCTCAATTTAAAGTTTCACTCCCATATATTTCCCTAAGACTTGTAGGGCACGCTTCCATTTGTCAGCTACCTATCAGCAGGGTAAGACAAATGAACAAATGGCCCAAGAATATTAATGGGGAAAGCAGGAAATAGTGAATCACTCTGAGTGTGACAGTCAAGTTTTCTTATAGGCATGTGGGCTTATGGTTGTAATTTAATAGTGCATACACACAATATAGTCATATTTTTTTGCTAGTCAGGGCTGGTGGTGCATACGATGGGATTAGATATATGAGGATCCTGCACGGAGCCAGCAGATCACAGAGCCTTGAACAAGTTTAGCCTGAATGACAGGAGAACAGTTTCAGAGAGTCAAGTACAGTAAAATGATCTCAAGTTTTAAAAATTCCAGTCTCACAGAAGAACCCTAGTTTCCCTAGACTGGCTTAAACACTCCCCCACATCTCTATTATTTAAACATTTCAAACAATTTCTTAGGGATATGGCTACACTTGCCTTCTTAAGATGGATTTTTGTACAGATGCAACGTCCCCTCCCCCAGACTATATTCTCCGGGGGTTAGGAGTGGGCGTCCCACAACCAGTCCAGGGATGTACAATGTTGTGTTTCTTCAACCAGTTTTTGCAGAATCCTGCTAGGGTCTCAGAGGCTTACTTTCAGAGGTCCTTGAGTTTTTTTAAGTTTTATTTATTTAAGTAAACTCTACACCCAACGTGGGGCTCAAACTCACAACCTCAAGATCAAGAGAGAGAGAGAGAGAGAGAGAGAGAGAGAGAGAGAGAGATCAATGCTCTTCTGATTGAGTCAGCCAGGCGCCCCAGAGTTTTTACAAGTAAGCTCTAAGCCCAGTGTGGGGCTTGAACTCACAACCCCGAGATCAAGAGTCACATGTTCCACGGACTGAGCCAGTCAGATGCCCCTAGGTGGTAGTATTAAAACATTTTCAACGGAGTATATTTTGGGCCATCTGATGTCCTCTAAACCGCACTGCCATTTGGAAGCCTCAAAGACAACCTCAAAGGAATGACCCCCCAGTCACACCCCTTTGGACCTCCCCCAGCACTCCCTCTTTCTATCTCGTTATGTAAACCAGAAACTCGGTGTCAGCCTTAACACTATCTTCTCTCTGACCTCACATATCCAACTCCACTAATAAGTTTTGTAGGTTTTCTTCAGCTTTCCTGAGATACAATTCATATACCATAAAATTAACCCTTTTCTTTTTTCT